CACACACACACACACACACACACACACACACACACACACACACACACACACACACACCCTTTTTGATTAAAATGCGCACTTAATGCACTTAAATCTTTTTCCGTCTTGAAATGCAATTATGAATAGAACTAGAATAGTGGTATCACGAATTAAATTAAGAAACAATTTAATAATTTTTACTAATAAGTAGAGATGTAACGAAAGTAGTTATAAGTTATAACGAATGGGAAACGAAAAAAAAATTTTTTTTGCGAAATCGATTGCGAATGCAATGGGAGAGTTGTCGGTTTTGGTTAATATAAAGGATTACGCTACTTTGATATATCTACACTGTTAAAAAATATTTAATGTTGTCAATGAAAATAAAGTTATAAGTAACTTAAATTTAACGTTTACTTACATTAAATTTTATGCAAATCTACATAAAATTTAATAAAAAGTATACTAAACTTCGTAAAATTTTATGAAACGTTCACTAAATTTCATGTACATATACACAAATATACTTTTCAATTACAGATACATAAAATTAATTTAATATCATAAAATTGGATTTATGTAACTTAAAAGTATATTATATTAAATTTCATGATATTTTTAACAGTGTAGAGCAGAGCCTTCCAACTCGGTGTGCGTTATGAAATCCTTTTTCCTTCGATTAGACCTTTACCTATAGAGGCGAATCACAGTATCATAATATATTGTGATCTGTCTCTTGAGATCAGAAACCTAATAGGAGGAAGAAGGAAGAGAGCTTTCATAACGTAAAAGGCCATACCCGAGTTGGAAGACTCTGATCTAGAGCTTTAACATAATCAAGCTTCTTGTCATCTCTTTATTCGCTTCGCATGCTCTAACATGCTTCTATTGCGCTCATTGGAGTGAGTAGGAACTATGATAGGAGCATGCGACGTGAACAAAAATCAAGCTGTGAATAATGTGAATCTCACGGGCCGGATAATGGTGCTTTCCAAACGACTGTCTGACAGGGAACTATACTATGTACTATGGAATTATTCGAAATAGATTCCAATTGAAATTATTCGATTATTCTCTAGATTTCTATTTTTTAGGAAAAATGAAATAATTCCAATCGGAATTCATTCCGATTTATTCCACAATAGAAATCTAGGGAAATCTTGTGCAATATTTATCGTAATAATTGATAACTAGTGAGAGAAACTAAACGTTTTTCAAGAAGATATATGCTAACAATTACAATTCGACAACAATTTGTCTCAGTAGTCTAACTGTGAAGACGTTTGTCCGGAAAGAAATCCCTGGTCGAGGTATTTTTTGCAACAAAATTAGTTACGGGTTTCATGCTTATCAATATCATATTATTAATGTTTTCTAAGATGTCTATAAGCATCGATATTATTAAATTGCTTATCAATTTAATTCGTGATATCGCTGTTCTAGTTCTGTCAAGATTGCATTTCAAGAAAATTAAATTCGGGGCGTAGTTTGGATATAAATTAATGATATAAATGTATATAAAATTCACACGGAATTATTAAACATTAAAAATCCAGCTTAATCATTTAGAGTTTTTATTTCTAATTTGTTGAGCAATTATAATTCGTATTAGACCGACGTCTTTGATCGAAAATAGACTTCATTTTTTTAAAATAAATTTAATAATCAAACATCGTGAGAATTAGATGTAAGGGATTGATAAAATAAGAAAAACAGTTTTTTAGAGATGTACTCGTTTTCGCTTCGTTTTGAAGAAAATTGCAAAAAAAAAAAAAAAAAACAAAACGTAGTTTTAATTTTTGTACTTATTTATTGCTTATTTATTTATACTTATTATTCACATTGTCACTTGCTTAATGCAGATATTCAAAATATTGGTCTCTTGTAGCAATGCACGCGTTGCATCTTGTACGGAACTCGTGTCATAGTCAAACACTGATCTCACCGTAATAAATACGTTTGGCAGAATGCAATAGTTTCGCATTTTACTGATTGTTTGCCAAGGTAAGACTATTCTTCTAGATCTAAAAGTAATAATTCAATCAACGCGAAGAAAACTTTCAACAATTAGAAAATAAACATTCTGCTGAATGCAGCAAATAGAAAATCACGTTTGGTATTTTTTTTGCATTTCTTTCCAAAATGAAGCAAAAATGAGCATATCCTTAAAGGAAGGAAACACACACACACACACACACACACACACACACATACACACACACGCGCGCGCGCGCGTAATTTGATGCCACATCCGTCCAAACATGGATCACTAGAATCCATCCGTTTTTTTCTCCTATTCAGAATGGTTAAAAAAAATCTCTAAAAATTCACTAACATATTTTTAACTTACTAGAATAAATATTGAAACTTTATTTTAAAAAATAATAAAGTGTAATATAATTTACAACTATTGGAAGATTCAAAGAATAATAACCCGAATCATGTACAGTAAAGATTAAATTTAAATTTAATTAAGTTTAAGTTGAATTTTAAATTTAATGAAAATTTAAATTAAATGCTATATATAATCCAATAATTAAATTATATGAAAAAGGTAGATTAGAAGATAATCAAACGATCGGTTAAGAATATTCTCATGTCTCCGGAGGTAGGAGTATTTGAGATTTTAAGTTATTGAGTATACGATGACATTATGCCGTTGCTCACGAATACGATCATATGTATTAGTTTATCATCTAACTTTGACCGAAAATAGTGCTTCTTATATTAGGTATGGAAAAAAGTTTGTGGCGTTTTTTGCCATCTAAAGGGAAAAACGCCACGAACTTTTTCCCACACTAATATTTGAATAACATTAATAAATTTCACAAAAAATGCATGTAATATAAAATTATTGTCTATATCATATT